ACGACGATGGTTTACTTACGACGCGTCACGGTTGATATATCGCGTTCACGACGTATCACGCCCGGAAATAACAAAAAAACTTTCGTGTGGATTCAGCGAATTCAGATATGAAAAAGTATTTCTTCACTTTTTCGTTGTGGCTCTAGGCCCATAACCTGTTCAAGCAATGCGTGGATAGGTAACAACCGAGAAAACGAGATGGATGTAAAGCCGAATGTAACTCTTGAGTTTATTAAAATAATACGATTTACATAAAGTGGTTATGACAAAACGATTCGATACAGAGCAGTTCGTGTCCGCGACGATCGAGCGTAGAGAGATAACGTAACGTCTTTTGAGAAAAACATGGATCACTTGAGGTGGTAGACGGTATACGCCACCGTGTGTTGATAACGCGTGATGGCGTATCGATATATCGATACGGACATTGACATCGAGTACGAGGATTTGCGATATCTCTAACAGCAGAGAGAAACCTGAGAGCGGCCATCCGGCTTCGGGGGACGTCTGTCCTAATCTGCCCTCTGAGAAAGTGGACGTCAACTACGGCGTTACGCTCGGTAACGATCAGAGAAGACTCGGGTAACGATACATGGGTTCGTATCCATGCTATGGTTCGTGTCCGAACTACTCAGATGGAGGGGATATGCTGGTCGCGCAAGCCTTTCCTCTGTCCGTGTACGCTACGCCCTCGGCAAGCTTCGAGCGGGGAGAGAAGAGCAGACATACGATCTGCTGTCTCTCTTGAGCTGTGACGTTGCCGCTTTGCACGGGCCGGCTTGTCGGCTATACCACGATGCCACGCATTTCGGGTATCGCGTCTCGTGTCTCGCCGAGTGCCGAGTCTCGAGTTGACAAATCAACGATACGCTATACCCGCTATATACGTTACATTTGCTTGTATACAAATTTTAATTTTTATATTTATAATTAAATAAATATATATATATATATATATTTATAATTAAATAAATATATATATATATATATATATATATATTTATTTAATTATAAATTAATTATATTTGCATATATACATATATATATATTTGAAATTTATAAATATATAAAGATTGCAAATATAATTAATTAAATAAATATTTATAAACATAAAAACTAAAATTCGTAAATGTAATGTATAGAAATCACCGTTCTATGCTTTTCTATCTAAAAAAGTCTTACATTAAAAACCTTTACTTTGCATAATAAATTTTAAATTTAATATTTAAATGCATACCAATAATTATATTATTAACTATATTGAGAAAAAAATGGTAGTTTATAATGTTTTTTGCACTCTTATTAAATTTATTTTACCTATGCATGTTCAAGCGGCCAAATTACGAGCAACAACAGAAGGATAATTAGATAAAAATAAAAACACTTTCTTAAATAAACAATACACATGGGTAACAGTGAGTTCTATTATAATTCTCGTAAAGTTCTGAACGTGTTCTAACGTTTATTTCTAAAGAGTTCTGACGATAAGCATTATTTATTCATATTTTAAATAATTTTTATCGCCCAAGAAAGACGCATTTACGAGTATGTGGGTGAGACGCTGTAGAAAATCTCGGAGTTCTGGTTTATATAAAATATTTTTCGTACAGTTCTAAGCATACTAAAACAATTTCTAAAGAGTTCCGGGCATTGGCAATGTTGTATAATTCTTAAATAAATTAATAACGCACGAAAGTCAGGAATTTATCGAGAATAGGATCTTTCTCGAGCGATAAGAATTATTTAAAAAATGAATAAATAATGCTTATTGCCAGAATAAAGTGGGACAACGTTAGAACACGTTCAGAACTACACGAGAATTATAGCAGAACTCACAGAACTGCCGAAATACGGCCAACGTCTCACCTTATTTTCGATAAATTCCTGATTTTCGAGCAATATTAATTTATTTAAAAATTATACAACGTAGCTAGTGTTTGCTAAAGTTAATAAACATATATATATACAACGTAGCTAGTGGCGGGAACTCTTTAGAAAATGCTTTAGTATGCTCAGAACTATACGAAAAATATTTTATATAAGCCAAAACTCCGAGATTTCGCACAGCGTCTCATCTTCTTCTGTCATGATTACTTTTCGGTTAATATTAATTTTTTTAAATATAACACAAAGATTCTAACGCTCAGAACTCTTTAGAAAATGTTTCAATACGCTGAAAACTACTCGAAAAATATTTTACATAAACCGGAACTCCGAGATTTCAACTGGCGTCTCAACCGGTATACTCGTTGCATTGTAATTTTTTTAGTACCTTATAATTAATTTTTTTGTTTTTATATGGCAGAACTCTTTATAGAACTGTTATAGAACTATAGATCTTGCAAAATCTGATGAGATAAATTCTTTATAGAACTGTTATAGAACTATAGATCTTGCAAAATCTGATGAGATACAGTGGTGGAACTTGTGTAGGACAAAATGAGACGCTGCGTGAACACAGCGTCTCAGTTTGTACTGACGCGTTTTTTGAAAGAAGCCAGAACTCTCAGTAATTTGTGAGTTTCTGCAAAATGAGACGATAGCTTCACACACACGTTAGAAAGAGAATGTATAAAGAATTATTAACGGAGATATTTTAATTTAAAAAATCATTAAAATATATATTTTTCAGGAATGTTTTATAGGGAAATGAAAAAAATGAATAACGTTAAACTTTGCATGTTTTCTTCACTTTATTTTAAAAATTTATTTTTATTTTTTAAGTAACAAAAATGCTCTTTTTTCTGTTATATCCTGGTCACTATAAATGACAGACGATGTAAATAATTCTAGCTGTTTTAGGTATCTGAAACAAAAAGCTAAAATTTTCTTATTCTGCAGGAGAAGTGTGGCTATCGTCTGAATTAGAACTAAATCAATATTTTCATTCTGAGCGGCTTTTTTATTTAAAATATTATAACTTTTTTCAAAATTTTATTAGTATTTTATTAAAAGAAAATGTTTATTCTAGTTCAGACGATAACCCATATCACTTATTCTGAATAAGAAAATTTTTGGTTTTTACGTTTCTGATACCTGTCGATTTAAGTTGCTTTAACTGTTATTCTATTCACTGGCGAAATAAATTTATTATTCTGATTTTTAATAATATAAGGGAAATAAGACCGTTTTATGACAGTTATACAATCAATCAATATTAAATAAGCCGTGTACGATCCGAGCTTGGATCTTAATAGCCTAATAATATTTTTTATGTATAATTACACGTATATTTTTTTCAATCTTAATAAATTGCGCGCTGACTAACTTGTCAGACTTACAACACAGCTCCTGTTGGAGTAGTAAATTCTTTACTATTATTTAAATCGATTTAATTAAAGGGGTGTGAGGGAATTTTATTAATCTAATAGGAGCTGTGTTGTAAGTCTGACAAGTTAATCGGCGCGTATTATAGTTGATTAAAGTTGGAAAAATATGTAAATATAGTATATAAAAAATATTATTAGGCTACTATAAAATCTAAGCTCAGATCGTAAATGGTTTATTTAATATTGATTAATAATATTTTTGATAAAAAAGCCGCCTAGAACCTAGAATGGAAATATTGGTTTAGTTCTAGTTCAGACTATAGCCACATATACTTCTTCTGAATAAGAAAATTTTAGCTTTTTGCGTTTCAGATACCTAGAACAGCTAAAATTATTTACACCGTCTGTCATTTATGGTGACCAGGATATAACAGAAAAGAAGAGCATTTTTGTTACTTAAAAAATAAAAATAAATTTTTAAAATAAGGTGAAAAGAACATGCAAAGTTTAACGTTATTCACTTTCTTCGTTTCCCTATAAAAAGTTCCTGAAAAATAAATATTTTAAAGATCTTTTAAATCAGAATACCTCCGTTAATAATTCTTTACATTCTCTTCCTGACAGAAGAGATTTTACCACTTCTCAATATAAATATAAATTTATCTTGTTATGGTTTTATTCGATTATTCCGGCGTTTTTATATTTGTGATTTAATTAGATTATTGTTTACTTTGTTTATATTATTAGATGATTGTTTAATGTTTTAGTCTAGACTAATGTTTAATGTTTTAGTATGTAAACTTAAACATTAATTATCATGTTTTTTTATATTTATCTTCTTTTATCGTAGTAATCCGTTCCGAAGAAGACTAAGTACAGTCGAAACGTTAAGCATGTGTATTGTTTATTTAAGAAATTGTTTTTATTTTAATTCAATACCTCTTTGTTGTTGCTCGTGGCCGCTTATAAACATTAATAGATAATATAAATTTAATAAGAGTAAAAAAAAACATTATGAACTACGTTTTTTCTTGATATAGTTAATATGTAATTATTGTTATGCATTTAAATATTAAATTTAAATACTATTATGCTAAAGTAAAGGTTTTTAATGTAAGACTTTTTTTGATATAAGAGCGCCAGAACGGGGATTTTTATACATTACATTTACGAATTTTAATTTTTATGTTTATAAATATTTTTTTAATTAATTATAATTTTAATCTTTATATTTATAAATTTCAAATATATATATATATATATATATATATATACATATATTTATTTATTTATTTATTTATAAATATAAAAATTAAAATTTGTAAATATAAACGTAAATGTAACGTATAGCGCATCGTCGATTTGCCAACGCGAGACTCGGCATTCGGCGAGACGCGAGGAGCGATACCCGAAATACATGGCATCGTGGCATAGCCGGCTCGTGCTAAGCAGCTACGTCACAGCTCAAGCGAGAAGGAGACAGCAGATCGTATGTCTGCCCTTCTCTCCCCGCTCAAAGCTTGCCGAGTGCCGAGTCAGCCGACTGGCATATTCCCTCCATCTGAGTAGTTCGGACACGAACCATAGCACGGACATGAACCATGTTTGTACCGTTACCGAGCGTAACGACGTAGTTGACGTCCACTTTCTCAGGCGGCGCGTCAGTATACGTCCACTGGAACGGAATGATCCCGGTGGTCGCTCTCAGGTTTCTCTCTGCTAACAGTAAGCATCTCTCAGCCAAAAATCCAATGCAACGCCACGGCGTGTTGGCCCTTGATAAAATAAATCTTCGCAAATCGATAACGGTTTGCTCAAAAGATCTGACTTACTCGGGGCCTCACCGATTTCGGAGATGACAGATCAAAATCGCAAGATATCAACGAATAGGCATATCACGGTTTGACAATCATGTTCCAACCGTTAGCTGATAATTATTCCCAACCAATTGCCGTGTTTGCCGCGAAAAACTAAGTGAACGGTGAGGAGCTTGCGAAAATCGTGATCAAAGCGATAACATATATAGAAAATTACGGAGCCAAAATTCATGGCATTATTTCGGATGGAGCCTTGACTAATAAAAAAATATGCAGTCGCTCCTGGGTGTTCAAAGTACACGTTGGATTACACGAAAACGTGGTTCACTCATCCAAACGACGACGATCGACAAGTTTTTGTGTTTTTGGATGTGCCACACGTGATTAAGTGTATTCGGAATCGACTGTACGGGAAGGGCCGTTTGAAAGTTGGTATCACAATAACAAATCATTGCGATAGAGTTTTTGTACTTTTCATTTTGAATTTTGGTCATAATGAATATTTTCATACATTTATTACAGTTGAGTGGCGAAAGTAATTATATTGCCTGGAAGTACTTCGTACAGTTGTTTAACTTGGACAGCCAGCAGTTAGGGCATGCTCGAGCCTGTCCCAAACTCTCAATGCGACATATACAACTCGATAACACAGCGAAGATGCGAGTCCGCCTTGCCACACAAGTATGAGTAAAGCGACTTGTTCAGTTGCATGCTAAAACGAAGCTTCGGCCAAATTATTAAATCCGCGTCAAATCTAATGATGTTGAACAGATTTTCAGCAATTCCATGACTAATGGCTTCCAATTTTACTCGCGCTATTACCCTGAGGCACTCCGAGGCTATGAAGAAACGGGTAAGTTCTGTAAAAAAATAAACGACATGTTCGACGCTTTCAATCGAAAGATTCCTAATCAAGGTCTCGTCCCGGACAACGATGACTTCAAGGTTTATAACTGAATTCAGTACTTATATGTTATTCCACTTTTTAATAGCAACTATCTTGTTTATTAATTGGTATATCTGATGATGAACAACCTACTGTGTCATTTCTAAGTTTTAAATTTGTCATTGGATTTATTGAACGATTGGGAGCGAGCCATGCGAAAGGGTGAAATCTCGGCTGCAAATTTTTAACTCCTGGAACAGCTCAAGGACTGCGACTGTCTTTATAATCAACGATGGATTTTTGCCGTTATTTAATCGATAATTGCGGCTTTAAATATTTACTCACTGGCACAGTAAATCAAGACAATCTCGAGGTAGCTTCGCGGAAAACGATTATTTGAATCTGCCGAAATAATGTGTAACGGCAGAATGTTGTCTATTTGAAATTCGGATATTCTTTTGTTAGAAATTTTTTGAAACGGTACGTCAAGCTGCCGGAAGTAACGAACATCCAGACTGATCAACGTTTCTCCAGTTGTACAAAATACTGTTAGTATATTGTGTCATCAAACCGCCAAAAGCAAGCAATTGTACACACAACGATCTGACCTCGCCGAAAGTCTTGGTTTCTCTAAGCGAGCTGAAGGATATTTATGGCAATAAGTCTTCGAGTCTCGTCGAGCGTCGACAGTGTCTAAAAGAGTAGTTAGATGAAATTATTCGCAACGAAGACTGGGAGGCGGATGATATTATTAACGCGATCACGATTATTCCCTTTCCCCTGCACTTGACTGCATCATCTATTACGTCACAGGTTTTTATTTTCTATTATATCTTCAAAACGTTATCTCAAAAACATCACAGGCAAGCAATATTAGTGGGTGACAAGGTAATTACGCTTCATCGCTTCGACTAACATCTTTTAGTATGCAGTTTAATATCAATCGTTTAAATCTTTGCCATCGCTTATTAAGGGGACTAGGCAGTCAGATTTGGTAAAAATTTAATCTTTTTTGGGAATTAATTACAAGGAAATGAATACAAATTGTGACTAGTACTTTTAGGTAATGTTTACTAGTACTAAAAACAGTAAAGAAAAAAATTTTTTTAAATAATATATATGTATATATGACGGCGCTACAGTCTTCTGATACATAGGCGGTTTTTCTGGTGCCGTTGTGGTTTTGCAGTGATCCTGGCCATAAAAAATTGAATTGTACATTTTTCCTGAAAAATTTGGCACTCTATAAGACCTCATTCTGCACTGAACCTATTTAAAAAAGAAAAAAATCAAAATTAAAGAAATGACAGCTGCAAATGTAGAAAAACGTGATTTTTCATTGAAAAGAAGGAGCTATTTTATTTTATTTATTTTTTTTTGTCAAAACAGAAGTTTTTACAGACTTATGCGTAGGTTCAGGCCTTAACTAGACATGTTTTACATATGCTCAATTTTTTTTAAATCGATTTGAACCTCCGTCTTTTTGCAATTACTGCAAAACGAAGAGAAAAAAAAGATTTCGAGAAAAACGCGTTTAAAGTTTCGTTCGCCGCTATCGCTCGACCTTTTTGGCTGTCAAATCCTTAATTTTGCGAATTTTAACATGAACCAAACGGCATTTTACTCGGGAAGGATAGTATTTTTGAAAAATGCAATAAAAAATATCGATTTTCTGACTGCCTAGTCCCCTTAATCTCTTTAATGCAGGCTTCAACATTTATATTCCGATGGGACATTTTTCAGAACGGTTCTCTCAATTCTCAGTGAAAATGATTTCAAGCATTTGCAAAACAATTATATTGATTTAATGTTTTGTAAACGCTATATGTTGTTCTCGCTGAGATACTCATTTAATATATTATTTCATGGGATATTTCAGGATATCTGTGCAAGCAAGTCCTTCGCTGATTTAAGTCCTGTCTTATTTAATTGCTCCGAGGCTATCCTTAAGCCTCCTATCCTATCCTTAGCACCAACACACAAACGTTAGGTAAACGTTTAAAAATCGTTTTTCGTTCGTAAACCTGC